GGTTTTTACTTCGCTCAACGCTTCATACCTCGTGCTTCGACCGATCTTCTTCGAAGTTCGGTCCTCGTCTTCGTACGCAGCCCTTGTTATCCGGATTCCCCAGGGAGGGACGGATAAATCCTTGCGGAAATAATCCGGGGAATCCGGGGATCGAACCCACGACCTTTGAGTTAAGAAACCGATGCTCTACCACCTGAGCTATTCCCCCCCCCCTGAACACGGATTTTGACCCTGGATCTGAGTCCTTTTCAGTGTCATATTCTGCACTGAATTCAATAAATTTGAGTGTGAAGGATATTCGGCCCCATCGTGACACAGACCTTTTAACCGTAATTCTGCGAAAATTAATACATTATAAATAGATACGATATGCATGGTCATTTCGAAGTCCTCCCACTGCACTGGAATGGCCGACTCATGCAGATGTGGAATCAACTGATGGCTTCGTCCGACGAGAAAATCCACGTCATCGTAAGTACGGCAGCCCAAGAAGCCGTCCGCCAAGCCGCAGCTGTGGGTATCGTCGCGGTCGCCAGCCAAACTTGGATCGGTACCGGGCTGGTGGGCCCTAGCATATTGTCGATGACTACTTTGGAGAGATCGGGAAACCACCGATGTCTTAAAAGATAATATAGGTCTGTCGCCATTACAGAAGTGCACTGCGTCAATGCTTATGCTGGCCTATGGCGTCTGCGCTTACTCGATTCACCATCGTCGCCGTGGTGAATCGACAGCTATCGAATGAATGAAGCGCATAGCGACACTGAAACTCAGTTTCAGTGTCGAATTCAGTGTTGGAGTGGGGGTAAATTCAGGGTCAAAATATCATCGACACTGAGTAATATTCAGTTTCAGGGTCAAATTCCGTGTACGGTGGAGATGCTCTTAGTAAGAGTTGACGATTAACCAGTCGTAAAGATGCGTCCGCGTGCCGCTCTCCTTGCTGCATGAGACCAAGTACCCAAGATCAACTACCGCAGTGCCCGTGAGCATCACGCCAACATGCTCACGGGCACTGCGGTAGTTGATCTTGGGTACTTGGTCACTACGGCCACTTGCAACCAACTTCTACCGCTGCAGCAGCTCGCCGTGGTCTGCTGCGAATGGTTCGATTCGTGTCACCTCACGCAGGAGGGCAACCTCCAGGTCTTCCATCCATGCAACGTACTTGGCTGGTGGTCGAGGTTGTGGGTCAACCATTGGAGTGAATTCGAAGTAAATGTATGAACAGTTCATCTACAGGGAATGACGTATTAAGCGCCCCCGTGGTACTTCGAATTGGCATTTCAATTGTGTATTGGGACAAACTACTTCGAAATTTCAATACTTTAATCAATACGAAATTTTAGTACCACGGGGGCGTTTAATACGTCATTCCCTGTATTCAAGCACAATCCACCACCCATTGCATTTTGATGTATTTTGATTGGCTTAGACATTTCGGTAATTTGAAGTTCAAATATACGAAATGGTCATGCGATTTCGTATATTTGAGCCAAATTCCGAGCGGAATTTGGCCTTCACGAAGTTCGTAGCTGTGAGTAACCCGAAGTTTGATTTCGGGAATTTCAAATTACGGGTTTGCTAAATAATGTCTCTATTGTATTTCGTTTTGCAGGAACGAAATTTTGTGGCCAAGGTGTATCTTCCCAAAATACCTTCCCCGATTGGCTAAAACAATCCTAAAAATCACAAATAATTGATAAAAGTTCGTGAATTTTAACCTGGGCACCCGGATAACCATCCGGATAATTTGAAATAAGAATACCGTTGACAGTGAGATGTGTCACAGTTAGGAAAAGGCGTTCAATAATGACCCATTTTTCGAGATGCCGCGATTGTTTTGCGTCGTTGTCGGAAGTACAGGGTGTCTTTTCCCCGTGACAATCCGCGAAGACGAGACCGTCAGTGTACTCAAGGACAAAATCGCGATCAAAGCGATGTACCAATTCCCAGCCGACGAGATGGATCTCTTCAAGGCGAAGGATGGTACCGGGTTCTCCTGCGAAGCCGCAGCAGCAGTGACCCTCGCCGACCTCCAAGACGTCCAACGCTTCGAGGCGATGGGGCCAGCGCTCTCGATCAAGAAAGCGTTTGGAGGCACATTTCCACCGAACGAAGAAGAAGTCTACGTGTTCGCGGTCGCTCCTGAACAACCCGCCGCAAGCTCCGCGGCGTCGCTTGTCGAGATCGATGAGGGCGTATGCAAGAAACACAAGAGAGACGAAGACGAGGGCTCCCTGTCGATTTCAAAGCTGACGTTTCCGAAAATCACAGAGTTGGGGTATTCCATGAAAGGGTGGATGTTGCCGCCGGTGGACGGCGTCCCGCGGCAGAATATTCCAGACTTCGAATGGATGGACGGTGTGAATGAGACCGACTCGAGGAACGTTCAAAGGTACAAGGACTACGTTGCGTATATGCTGCGGGACTTTCCGCAACTCATGATCACAACCACGGTTCACCTCGGCCTCAGCACCCCGTGGGCGAATCCCGACGCAGACTCACGGGGGCCCCCGACTTGTACGTCGTCCCAAGTGGTTGCACTAACATGTGTGGCCGTACGGAAGTGGTGATGGTGATCGAGCTGAAAAAACATGACACGCTGTCGGTCGCCAATATCGCTCAGACGGTGGGATACTTGCTGGCAGCACATACCCTCTTCGATAAGCAAGCATATCGACCTACTCCCGTCGGCATGTTCACGAATCTGCAGGACGAATGGCTTCTTTGCTAGGTAGACCGGAAAGGTGAAATTTGTATGATGACTATGGACAGGGACCACCAGAAGCTGACCCGCGAGACTGCGTGGCAGTACATTCGGAGGCATTGCGAATACGTCAACTCGGTCCTCTGAGAAGAACTGGCGGCGGGGGGTACCCTCGTAGACGACCTACAAGCTCTGAAACTTTTCCCCATGTTTGGGGATACCAATACCATGGGGGGCCAAGTAAAAAAGTTTGCGCCCCTCGAGTATGAAGACAACATGGCCGATGTGCTGGAAACCGAAGAAGAGGTCCTCCTCTATCAGATGTACAAGCGACTACAACGCACGACGGCCTTTGATATGTCGCACTGGACCATGTAACGCTACTCGTAGTAACGCTTGCCGACTTGGCGCGCAGTATATGTTGCCAGTCTCGATGATCTAATTGAGTTTTGTGTTGTTTTGTGTTATGTACGTACAGCTGCTGCAACTCGCGGCTTTTCCTGCATATTTTCAGTGCTTCTTGTAACGTAAATCTTTATTTACTGTTAAGAACACTTTTTCCGAGTCGCAGGCAAATAACTCGACTATTATACATTGTCAAGTCTATTCGAAATTGAAGTGAGGTGCTCATTCGAATAAGCAGAATCAAATCGACAGACAATCGATCGACCAATCAAAATGCAGAATAGTAATCAAGTAGCCAATCAAAGCCATTCTTCGACCAAATCAACACCGAATTAGTGTTTGACTGAAATTAGTATGAGACTGGCAATTTCTAAGAAATCGGCAAAAAAAAATATTGTCTCTCTGGATCCAAAATTTGGAGAATTCTATATTTTTCCAATAATAACGTTAGCGTTTTTCGCCAAAAAATAAAAAAAGAGGTTCAATGGACTGAAAGTTGGCAAGAACTGAGAATCGTCGAGTTTCTTTCGAAATCAGTTTGATCCAGACAGTAAAAAAATAGGAGACAACCAAATTCTTCGAATTGCTTTGAACCAAATTTTCGAAATATTAATTGGGCAAAAATCGGGGTGTGATCCCGACCCACCCTTACTGTTAATTGATATTTATACTACGTAGTAAGCTTAGTATACTGTAACGTTAGGCCAAATTGAAATGGATTCTGACTCCAGAATCCGAATTATGATACTATTAATACTAGTACGTAGATCACCTCCTACGGTTTTTTATATCTATTTCAATTCGAAGTTACGAAAATACAATAGAAACTCTTGCACTATCCGAGGGTTTGTTGCTATTTCACGCGAAAATAGAAATTCTGCGGGACGTATGGTGGAAGTCATCTAAAGACTACGAAAAAATGCCTTGTCTTGCGACAGCTATTCCAACTTTGTGTTGATTTTTTTAGGAAAATAATGGTAGAACTGGACAAGTCCAACAGAAGTTTACGGTTCAGACTTTCGATTGGTGAAATATTGATCAAGTTAGCTTAATAGAAGTTAAATCAACCGGCCTTTTTCTATGGAAATATATGCAGTAGGAGCATCAAGTATGAAGTATTCATTTTTGCTCCTTTTCATTGGCTCCACTATTTTTGACTGCTCTTTTTAGGCATTTGTCAGTCATTTCAACGAAATACTATGTGCTATTTGGAATGAATCAAGTATTTTGACTGAAATATTGCTGCTCACATGCACGTAACGTTAATAAGTGTAAATTTAACTGGTAGGCCATGGCGACGCTTTCCTTGGCGGCGATTGCGCTGGGTTTACAGAATACTACGCGTTCCACTACAAGCTTAGCGCGATTGTAGCGTGATCATAAACGATGTACACGTAACTACATAAAGGTATCATATAACTTTACTAACGAGATATCCACGTCATCACTCGAGGTGGGAAAAGATAATTTTCGAGCAAGCGATGCATTATTTCCGAGCGAGGCCTCAGAATGGAGAAATTTCGAGCAAAGTTGGGCCACTGAGGCACTTTCCTCCCTAAATTTATGACCCAAAGTTGCTCGGAAATGCTCCATCTGAGGCCTCGCTAAATAATCCATCGCTTGCTCGAAAATTATCTTATCCCACTCGAAGTCCATTCGATATAGCAGCGACTTCGTGGGTTATTTTCGAACATAACGTAAGCAACCAATTTATGGTCACTTTTTCTTGAAGGCTGGCTGGCATCGCTGTTTTCTTGGCACCCAGGAATCGGATTTGGACTCAAAATACTGCGTTGTAGAGCCAAAGATCCTGGCCTATCGGACATTCAAATTGGCAGATTTTCCATAATTGGCAGATCTTCCATAATAATGTCATTAGGGAGATTTCGGAGATGAGTATTATTATTAATCTTTATCCTTAAAATAACCTCTGACGTTTTATAAGGTTGAGGAAAACTCCGGAACTTAGTACCAGAATCCATGAAATTGGTCCATTTTGGGGATTCGAATCCTCGACCATGATTGGCCAGGTCTGTTGAAACGCTTTTTTGTTGTTGGCACTTCGAATAGGAGACTTCCAAAACCGTCGCAAACCTTTTTGAGTCGATGATTTTCATCCGGAATTAAAATTAAATTCACCCGTACTTATCTGGTGTTTTTAAGATAACGTTATCGTTGATAGCCACTGGTACAGCTCCGGCCGGATGTACTGCTTGGCGCGGCCGACTAAGCTGAGGCGTCCGGCGCCGCCTAAGTTTCTTTTCGTAGTTCCTACAAGTGTATACATGTGATGATTCAACGTCACTAGGCATAAAGTTGGAGGTTATCTTTAACTTGTTCGCTCCCACCGCGCCTCTGATTGACCTCCACTTCATGTGGGTCATCATCATCATCCTCCACGCTCCATATAAATTTAATAAGTTATAATTTGAGTCGCTTGGTGTAGTATAGAAGCACTCCTCTGCAGCTGGCGCTTTGGTGCCACCGAGGCGTACTAAGCTTACTTTAGATGCAAGCCACTCCTTGCCACCGAGGCGTACTAAGCTTACTTTAGATGCAAGCCTTTCCGAACGTCCTACAGATACCGGTACCGGTAGAACAACTGAGCTAACACAATATGAGTTTCAATCAATTCAATGCTTCGTATGCTCCCTACTAGCCCCAAAGCTTCAATGGCGAATGACCCACAATGACCTCGCCGATCATCCACGAAGTCCACGAATTTGGCTCCATCTAGTCTACGGATAGGGAAAATGTGTTATCACCGAAATCGTCGATATAAAATCCCTTGCTTTTACTTTGCTTTCAATTTTTACGGAAAAAGAAAAAGAGAAGTCATCTCCGAAATCTCCCTAATGTCGGGGACGCTTCTGCTCTGACAATACCCACCGGGTATGCCGATGCAACAGTTTCTACAAAACATTGTTGCGGGGGGTAGCTTAAAGGATGCTTCGAGTTGGCTCCCAGATTGCGTGGAAGGTAGGAGTATTACGCAGTACAAACGTGAGTACTGTACTACTGGTAGTATTACTAGTAAGGGTAAGATGCAAATTGAAACGAGTTCAACTTGCCCATCATGTCCTTCAAATGAAGGGTTTGCTGTAACGTTAATCTTAACTTAGTTGGCGCCGCTCATGCTGTAGTTGTGCGTGATCCCTCGGACGAAGCTGCGTTCCCCGGTCACGGAGGATCGTCGAGGAAATCTCGAAAACAAAAAGTTGGTGTATTTATAAATGGTTCATTTTAGCCAATCAAATGCCTTGGATTCGGTTGGCTCGGACGCTTGCAAATAAATGGCTCTGCGGTCGTGGGTGGCATATGGAACACGTCCGTCTCCTATGCGGATTTGAAATATAGTTGTGTTTTGTATGCATCATACCTCGTGACGAATAAACTATTGTGATTTTGAACCACTAATGTGTCGGCGGTTCACTTTCTGCTGATTGCTCTGCTAAACACTCGTTTGGGTAAGCCGCTTTTCCGATCCATGTCGTCGTCGTCGTCAGCCCGATGCTCATGCGTGTCTGTAGCATTCGTAGCATCCAGAAGGGAAACATGCAGATCTTCATCGATGCGTTGGGGGGTCGCACCCTCAACTTGACTGTTGCGAACGACGCGTCCGTGGCCTCGATCGCTGCGCAAGTCGAAGACTTGGAATTCATCCAAAACTTCCGCCTTACTGCCGCCGGTGTGACCTTGAACGGTGCTCAATCGTTGTCGGACTACAACGTGTGCGACGCCGACACGTTGAAGGTGACCTTCGACTTGGTCGGTGGGATGCGTGCCAAGTGGCGCAAGAAGCGCATGCGTCGCCTGCGTCGCAAACGCCGAAAGATGCGTCAACGCGCCAGATAAGCGTGTGTCCAGGCTCCATGATCGCACCGCGCACGACTTTCTCACGACCAAGACATGCGCGGTAGTTGTTCTGCCCATGGTGCATCGAACAAGGCCGTATTGAAAATATACACTGCGTTTTGTCACCAGAATATGCTCATGTTCCTTGTTTGCTCATCCATGGAATAATAATGCTGTCGTTATTCAAGCGTCATACCTACTACTAGTACTACTAGTACTACTACTTTCCGCAAATCATCGATCGCTGCATATATTAGGTAGCAGTCGTTATGGAGTGTGCTCGCAGTGTTAGTATTACTAAATGGCGGTTGTACTAATACTTGGAGGCAAAAGCACTGGAGATGGCTTCAAGGGCCAAGAGGCTGGCTTGTTGTTCGGCTTTGACGACGTTTTCAAGGCCGGCCACCTTGACTTCGAGCTCTTGGACGCGATTGGTCAAGTGCATTCGATCCGTCTCCATGTACACCTAGTAGTTTCATGATTAGTACTAATAACTACTACTACACTAAATTGGTCAAAACTACATCTGACGTTAACTAGTACTGTATGTATGCACCTGCCACCGCTGAAATTGGTCGAGTTGGTCTTGTGCCCGAGCTTCCATCTCCGCCTTCCACGTCATGCACGAGTCCACGTATTTGACGTCAGGGCCCAACAAACCTACACAATCGGGGGTTTACTGGGGGGGGATTCCATACTCTACTAAGGATGACGCCAATCTCACTTAAGGCGCCGCGAGTGTGTCGGCCTTCTGGAGTGGCCATATTCGACTCCATGAGATTCATTTGGCTCGCCATGTCTACCCGATAGATACATGTTCCCAGGGAATGATTTAGTCATCCAACGTTGTCGCCGATTGTATATTATGTACCAGCTTGTAATGTAGAGAGGCGATCAGACACGCCATCCAGTCGGGCTTCGAGGCGCGGCACCACGTCCGTCGCGAGTGTTTCGACCTTGACGCGTACTTGATGCACCACTGCGTCGTGCTATCGAAGAATAGTATATTAATATCATGATTGAATCATTCAGTATCAACATTATGATTGAATCATTCATCCTTTTCTTCGCCAAAAGCTTGCAACACTAATATACGTAGGATGGGATGCAGTTACTTGAAGTCGTCGCTGTTGGTGCGCCATGTGGGCATCGAAGGCCACGGCCATGGACGCGATCGTGTCGTCCCGCCGCACCATGTCGTCATGCGGCGAGTCAGGGACATCGTCGTCGTGGACACTGTGGGTGCCCGTGCTACTCTGCGGCGAGTTTAGCGCAAAAGTATCCTCATTCTCGCCTTCTTGTTGGTGTTGTGGTGACTCGTCCATCGACGTGTCGTGCTTTTGAGCTGTCTCTGGAGCCTACACGAACGACAGGAGTGACAACTATGAATGCAGTAACGACACCATCATCACGATACGAGTTTAGTTTGTACGTTGGTCGAGCGTGTAGTCAACAATGGGGGGAGCTGCTGTACATTGGACGGCGGGTGGGGCACTCGTGTCGATGTCGTTGGGGATGTCTTGGGCACAATCGTGGGTGAAATAATGCATTCGACTTGGGGCGTCACGCGGCTAATGCACGCCTACGTACGTACGTATCCAAGTCGGTGACTCGGGTTGCAGTTGCTCGAATTCGACAGCAAATCGCACCAACAGATCCGCGAGGCCCACGCGGGTGGCGGCATCGTCGATCGAGTTGTCCTCCCCGAGCCGGATTTCGCGCAATTTCGTCGTGGGGTGGCGTCGTATCGCCTGTTTCAGCGAGCCCAGGCCAGCCACAGTGATGCCGCAATTCTATCGCCAAATCAAACAATCATACCGTGAGAATGCATATATAGATAGAAGATATATACAGTGCATATATTATATGCATCACGCTCTGATGGGATCCAACCTCGATGTTCAAGCTCGTGAGGTTTGCATGTGCCAACGTGATGAGTCCGCCGAACGAGTCAAAGCCGTCGGTGCTGATGGGGTTGTATGACATGTCAAGGGACGTCAAGTGGGGATGAGCGGTCGTGGCAACGTCGCGG